GCATCATCAGCTAAATTTCAGACAGGAATTATCATTTAGTTAAGGCGTCAATGAAACAAGAACCAACAGCAATTAGCAGAAGCAGAGGGCCAAAATTCCTATGATGGCTATCAGAGTCCTTATCTAGAAGGATCTTGGGAATGAGAATGAAGACCAGCTAGTATTTTATTTCATGTTTCTTATGACAAGAAATTCCCTTTTGATATAACATTTCAGGGAGCACAAGGATGACTTATTGACTTCTGTAATTATTTCCTTCTGATACTAGGAAATTATTCTCAAGGCCCTGGAAGGCTAGAATGTTAGGCAAGGGCAATGGTTCATTGACCAGCTGAAAAGACAGCATTTATATCTGTTGGCTTGGTTTGTATCAGCTTCAGCAAGTTTATGACTCATGGTCATTTGGAGCCGGTTGTTGTCATCAGTTGATGCTTGGATGTGCCTGTCAGCCAAGTTGAAACCTGTCAAGATGATCAAACTAGGAACAGAAATTAAAATTTCTGAACTTACTTATGTCTTATTTGAAAATAGCTTAATTAAAGAAGTATATATATTTTTTGCTCAAATTCTTAGTTTATACCAGCTTAATTTTTTTATTTGTTATTTTTATATTATGTATTTGGGTATTTTGCCTGCATGTTTGGATAGACACTATATCTATGTATTGCTTGTTGATGCTAGAAGGAGGGTATCAGATCCCCTAGAACTTGAGGTACAGATGGTTGTGCCACCACATAGAGGTTGGGAATTGAATCCTGGTCCTCTGCCACCACACTCTTAACTACTGAATCATCCCCCAGTCCTTAGCTTAAGATTTTATAGTGATTTAAAACTTAGCATATCAGAGAACTATTTTTTCCTTACATTTAATTTTAGAAATTGAGAAAAAAAAAAGACATACATATTTAAGTGACCTGTGTCTTAAAACATTTCTACCATGGTCTCAAAACTTAACTGCTTCTAGAATTCTAAGAATCTTCGCAAAATTTTTCACTGTTGGTTGTATTTAAATGAGTTCATAAAAACAGCCCTTTAGTTAGGTAAATAAATACCTTTACCCTTACTGTTCTGCCCTAGAATGGCCCTCACTGGCCTACCTTGCTTTGTAAGAGTCACTTCTTCCAGAAAGCTGGTCCTCATTTTAGCAGTTAAGCTCTCCCGGGAGACTAGCTCTTTTGTTTGCATTTAAGGCTTCCTGTTGCTTTCTAGTCTTAGCTGTGATGCACAACTTTGTGAGTGTTTATGATTCGAGGCTGAATTACTATCCAAGTACCATTGAGAAAATAGGCAGTGTTAGAGGTAAGACCAGCTGTGCTAGCGTGTTTGGAATTGGTCCTGCTCTTGTAGATGTTGGAAGCCAATGCACTTCAACATGTTTCAGACTCTAGCTTCTGATGGGTAACCAGAAGAGAAGAGAAACTGACAACTGTGTCTTCTCAGTCTCAGTCAGCTTCCATTTAGATATTCATGAGAGCAACCAACACTTCAACTGTATGTGCTTAGACTATAATAGCAGTTTTGTGTGTTGAGCAAACTGGATCTTATTTAAAGCTTTCTAAGAATCATCTGTTCAGTGTTCTGTCAGCCTGCTGATATACCCAATAAGTCTGATCGTTTGGTTGCATTATAGCATCACTTTTTATCTGGAAGACACAACAAATTTCATGCTCCTTTACTAACGAATTAAATTGGGGTAGAGCAAAATACAAGTAAAGATTGGTTGCCAGAAGAAATATTGGAATATGGAGTCTTAGAGAAAACCAGTGTGTTGTTGACGAGAGCAATGGTTTTCAGGCCTGGGCACAACATTGAGTCCCATGGGAGGAAACTTTAAGTCATTGACACTAAATGGAACAATCCATTGTCTTCTAAAGGGCTCTTTCAGCAGCTCACCAGGCATTTGGAAGACTCTTGCCTGGATGGTCCTTGCTGGTGTCCTTGGGAAGTTGTCTGAGCATTGGTCTCTGCAGGCCTTCCTGGTGCGGGACTGTGGCATCCCTTCTCTAATGCTTAGTCTTAGCAGTGTGCCATTGCTCACATTTCTTAAATTTGTACTTAACAATTTGCAAAGGAGATTACAACCTTTCACTATATAAAACTCCTTAGTTGAGTGGGGTGATGCAGACCTTTAATCCTAGCACTCAGGAGGCAGGGAGAGGTGGATCTCTTGAGTTCAGGCCAGCCTGGTCTACAGAGATTGTTTAGGGACAGTCAGGGCTACACAGAGAAAAACAATACCACCACCAAGATTCCTGCAGGCGTAGCTGGTGGGAGGGAATGCCTTCTCTTTGAATGTTCCTTTTTCTCCCTCGGGTGTCTTTTCACTCCCTACGTCTCTCAAGAGATGCCTTTGTATGTACTAAGTCACTGTCTTTTCGTGAAGAAGCCTCCCTTACGCTGGATGATGTCAGCGAAAGAACACATAGGTCTGTGCCTCAGTGGAGCATCTAGCTTAGAAGACAAGCAGCTGCCACACGAGTTAGAATAATTAATGACACAACTGCCAGGTGTGCAGGAACAAACAAGACCTGGGAAGGTGCCAGTGGGATCAGGCCTAATTGTGTCTTCCTCGAACAGCACTTTCCCCTTTGTGTTTTGTGGAAAGAAAGGGCGTTTAGTCAAAGCTCTTTCCCTCCTGACTCAGAACTGTGCAAGTCATCCTAACCCTGCCATGTGTAGGACAATTGTCCTCTCTCTGCAGAAATTCAGAGAATGTAGCGAGTACAGTAAACTCATTTGCTTTATGTGGACAGAAGTGCTAGGCTACTCCCAAATTAATGTGCAGCTCTTTCCCACTGCTCACAACTCTCTTCTTCCTACCCTTCCTCTATGGTTTTATTGCTCAGCCCACTAATTGCTTTCCCTCCAAATCCTTGGAAACTGTATAGGATACCAAACTGTTGGAATACACTGCTTTTCTTTCCTGCACTATTTTGTTTTGAACCTTATTCCAAGTTAGAGAGTAAAGGCTGAAGACCCTGTGAAAGGCACTGAGGTGTAGAGAGCTAACGCTGAGGTAGGGAAGGCTGACAGTGATTCTCCAGGAGCAAGTCTGGTGATCAAATTTCTCCATCATTCTCCACCTCTGGTGCTTTTCTGTCTCTGACTGCAGCGAGACCTTCCCTGGGAGGTCACAGATGAGGCAGCCATTGACAGGATGCCAGGGAACGTTCATAATCTACATCTTTGTTCCATTCCCACAGTTTTGTGGCATTGTGAAGGAGGAAAATCTTAAAGCAGATAACAATGCTACAGTACACAACTCAAAATATAAATGTTCAATGATTGGTATTTTATTTTGCTACTTTTTTTCTTATTTAAGCAAATACAATGTACTTCTAGATGTTTTCCTTTGGTCATTCTTCAGTTCTTACTTCCTCAGTATCCTCCTCACCTTGTTCTTTCTCCGTAAACCTTCCATTCATGACTATTTTCAGACTCCAAACTACCAAGGTTGGAGAGAAAGAGACCTCCAGCCTACTCACTATTGTGTATTGTCATGAGAGTCTCAGGCATTGAAGAATCAGCTACATCAGGACGCACTTTTGAATGACATTTGTGCACGCCATAAGGAAAGTGTGTCAATAAAAACAGCCGAGCAAGCTTCTTAGGAAGCTGATGCCTGGGCCACTGGGAAATGGTTCTGCATGGAATCTCATGGTCTAACACATTAACACTCTTGCCTTACAGTAAATGAATATAAATTAAATTAATTTGAATGGCAAATCTGGAATTTGACCTTGAGCTTCCATGTTTCCCCTTTTAAGTGTCATTACTGTAATATATTCAGGTACACACACACACACACACACACACACACACACACACACACACTCTTAAGAGGGTGTGCCTAGATTAGAAAAGGACTCACTCACTATGGTTTCTTTTTCATTGCTACCAAGCATGGCTGTGTTCAAGATTGTGTTTATATTATCTTGATAATAAGTATACTTATCCTTTTTGTCTTTGATGTTTCTCGTTGAGAATTTTTTAACATAAATTTTTATTGATTCTTTGGGAATTTCACATCATGCACTCCAACCCCACTCATTTCCCAGTCCCTCCATATCTGTCCTTCACCCTTGTAGCATCCCCCACCAAGAAAAATTTAAAAACAAACAATAAAAATAAAATATAAAAATACAAGTAAGAATATTGATTAAAAAACAATAAAAATCTCAAAAACAAACAAAGATAACAAAAAAAGCAAACAATCAAACCCAAAAAAGCACTTTGCCCCGCCGATCTTTCCACCTCTGCATCCCCTCCTCGTTCTCGGTGGCACTGGAAGCTGCTGCATGCCATGCCGTAGATCCTCCTGTCCACACAGCTTTACCTGCAAATGTTCATTGTGTGATGTTTTAAAGGGCAGATCTAAGCATTCAGACTGGCAGAGCATCAGCATTTATAAGCTAAAATTTTGGAAGATAAACATGGTGAAAGACCCTTGTGATTTTAAGTGTTGTCTATTTTGCCTGCCCTACGCCAGTGCCATTTGCTTTACCTTGTATCTTATTCACACTGGCTCCTGTCACCTGCTCAGCCTGCAGCAAAAGTTCATTGTGTCAGAGCAGAGGTCTGTTAATGCAGGGCCACCCATCTGGAATTCCTAATGTAAACAAGCATCCTCAGGGAGTATCATTCTAACAGTTGATATCCATACTGTTTCTGAGTGCAATATATAGTTGTTGTCAAAGAACTCATCATGGCATATGCATGACACAACGTGCACTTTTTGGCAAATAACCTTTTTAAAATTAAATAAATTAATAAAAAATCACTCTCTTTAAAAAAGTAAATGTGATTTCTTCCACATTTTTGTTCTGAAGTGCCGCCACAGTTTTTCTCATACTGAAAAGAGGAAAGAAGGCAATGATGGTGGCAAGCTTTGGTCTCGACAGCAGCTCCTAATATGGGTTTCTTAACTCCAAACCCAGTGCTGCCTTGGAGGCTCCATTTGCCTTATTCTAATATGATTTGTTTCCCTAATATTTTCTTAGGTGCAGAGAGAGCTAGCGACTGTTATTGCGATGAAAGCAAGAAAGTCCGGTGAGTAATCCTTGGTGGGCTAGAGGGTGACTGTAACCCTGGGGCTAGTGTGCGCTGGGGGCACTTCAGGATGCCCGCCACAGAACACAGAAAAACCTTATCGTGAAGATTTATATTCCAGTCTAAATAGCTAGCATAGGTAGGTGCTCTGGAAAACACTTCAAAGTAAAATTTTACTCCTTTTTCCCTAATTTATTTCCAATTCTGAGGAAAAATGAAAAATCTTTATGGTCTACTGGAACCAGGAAAGACATCAGAGTCCATTGTGAAAGCAATTAAATTACTTTCCGTTCTGTAATATGATGGCACGTAGCACCAAATACTATAATGCTGTAGTGCTTTGGAGACAGGGTCTGACTGTATAGTCCTGGGTACCCTGGCATTCTCTCTGTAGACCAGGCTGATCTCAAACTGCCTGCTTCTTGGCGTACTTAAGACAACATTTTTTTTTTAAATTTTAGAATGACTTGTCTAAAAATAATTTATTCAATGATATTTCATAGCAAACATTTTTCACAGGACTGGTTATATAGATATGTCCTCATATTTGTAAGCTGTAATCTGAAGAAATAATATGCAGAAAGCAAAAGGAGGCTTCCAAATATATGCTGGGGAACAAAGCATTTTCTGCTAAAATTCAGTATAAAATAGAGGCTTAGTGAAATGGGAAACGCTTGCTTAGTGTCTTAGTGTCTATTGCTATGAAGAGACAGCATGACCACGGCATCTCTTACAGTTTCAGAGGTTTAGTTTACTACTATCATGGTGGGGAGCATGAGAGCTGGGAGTACGGTGGCATGCAGGCAGACATGGTGCTGGAGAATTCTACATTCGGATCCAAAGGCAACAGGGACACACTTCCTCCAACAGGGCCACTTCTGCTCCAAATAGGCCACAACTCCCTGTAGTGCCACTTCCTTTGGGGTCGTTTTCTTTCAAACCACACTTAGAGAGGGGAAATGTTCAGATGGTGGAGGAACTCAGCAAAGGCATGATCTGGTTGTGGTGACTAGAAGATGAGTTTTCATCCAGAAAGATGATAACAGTGAAAGTGTAGATAAATTTGAAGAATAACCAGAGAGAAAATGGGTTTGCATAAAATGAACATTCATGTGTTTCTTTCTGTAAGGCACCCTTAAAAGTGTCTTACTTTTCAGTTACTGTTTGAATCAAATACATTTTAGTATGGGTACATTTATTATATCCATGTAGCTTTGGTGACCTTGTTGATTAAAAAAAGACACAGAGACCAGATGCTATGAAGGTGTTAGAGGCTGCAGAGAGAGTCATGAGGGGGTATGAGCAGAGCTCACTGGCAAACATCATTAGACAGTGGATATTTGCAGAGGAAGAAGCCAAGCTAGAGAGAGGACACAGCTGAATGACTTTGAGAGAGTCAGAAGTAAAGTGACTGCATTGATCTTGGTCTTGTTGGCAGTAAAGAAGCCAAACTTGAAGTCTGTGTGATTGTGTAGCTGCTGCACCTTTGAGTGTGGAATCTGGCCTTTTAAAGTTTCAGTGTAAATTTGAGAAGACAAGCAGAGTGGCCATTGCCAGAGAAAGAGCAAAAAGGTACAGAAAAGCCTGAGCATGCGGGCTGGCATATGCCTGCTGTGTTCTAGAGATGCAAGGGGGGCTGCAGGTGCGTGAGCAAGGTAGAGGTATGGATCGTGAAGCAGAACCTGGACAGGCACTTACACAAGACTTGTGGGAAGTTAGGTTTGTTGCACCTCAACATCGTAGGAGGTTAGACTGCCTCCCTTCCTAGCTCTTTGGAGGCTGGAATCTGAACACAACTTTACAGCTTTTTAGGTTCAGAAGAGATCCCTCACAGACACAAGAATGGGGACATAAGTTCACAGTTTTCCAGGAAGTGTGTTTTTTTTTTTATTGTTTGTTCGTTTGTACAGACACGATCTTACTATATAGCCTAGAATTCTCTATGTAGACCAAATGCTCTCAGACTCACAGAGATCTACTTGCCTCTGCCTCCTAAATCCAGGATTAAAGCCATACCATCTGGCTAGGAGAGCATTTTCGGAGTATTCTATCATCAGCAGTTCCTTGTCCCTGTCACCTCAGGCTGGAGATTTATCCATAGGATGTCACAGGGATTAAGAGAGAAGGGTGTGCATTGATTGCTCTCTCTTTCTCCTTTTTGGAAGGAGTCCCATGTGGCCTAAGCTGGCCTTGAAATCACTATGATGACCAAACCTAGGCTTTGTGTATGTTAGGCAAGCTCTCTACCAGTTGAACTACATCTACAGACCTTGTATTACTTTCTTTAAGGGTAAGAAAGTAGAGACTGTCTGCTGGGGAGATGGTTTAGTTGGTAAAGTGCTTACCTTGCAAACACGGAGCTGAGTTCAGATCTCCAATAACCACTTAAAAGCTGGACTTGTTAGCTTGTGCCTCTAATCTCAGCATGGGGAGGCAGAGGTACACAGATGATTGCTCATCGGGCTGCTGTTCTGGCAGAGTCATGGAGCTCCACATTCAGCAAGAGACTCTGTTTCAGTAAATGAGGAGGGGGACAATTGAAGAGGTCATCAGACTTTAACCTGTAGCCTATACACATGTATGTACATTCCCATATGGACATGTTCATGTCACACATATACAAACACACATACACGCACAGAAAAAGAAAAGGTAAAAGTAGTCCTTAAATTCTTATCATGGGATTATAAAGTAAAATATTCAGTGAAATATATACAATGGTATATATTACTTTTCTTTTTCATAATAAAAATAGTTTTATCTTGCTATTAGAACATGCTCATTGAAAGAAATTTTATTATGCATTCATGTTTGAAGAAGAAATTGAAAATTGTAAACCAAGCCTGTGTCTTCATTTCCTGGCCACCCAGACCCGAATAATCACACAGAAACTGTATTAATTACAACACTGTTTGGCCAATGTCTCAGGCTTATTATTAAAGCTCTTACATCTTAAATTAATCCATTTCTATTAATCTGGCTTACTGGTACAGAATGTTACCCCTTCAGCAGCTACATGGTATCTCTTTGATCCCACCTACTCCCTCTATCTTTCTCTGTTTGCATTTCCCTCCTGACTTTACTCTGCTAAGCCATTGGCCGAAACAGCTTTATTCATCAGCTACTAAAAGCAACACATATACATAGGATATCCCACATCAAAAAAATCTCCTCTCCTCTCACCAACATCAGTATTAATCTTTTTTGTATATATTTCTAGATGTTGTTCTACTAACATGTAAATATTGCTACATATTAATAAGATGTTGAGATAATTATAGATTCATACATTTCTAGTAAACTGTGGGCTTATCCCAAGCACTTTTTAAAAGTATTTTTATTTATATTTGAGAATTTCTACATGTATGTGTGTGTTTTGATCAGATCCAGTCCTCACGCCCAGCTCATTCCAGATCCTCCACCCCCAACTTGTGCTCTGCTGTCTGAATTAGCAAAGTTTAGCCGTTTGCCAACTAAAAACTAGCTCAGCTACCTTCAAGTTGAGAAGTTGTAACTGACGCTGCTGGAACATTTCTGCAGGTTTTGTGTTTAAGTTTTCACTCATTTTAATTGCACACTAAAAGGTTTGTTTGCTAGGTCTTATATCAGATCATGTTTAATGCCACATGGCCTTCTGAAGTTCCTGCATCCACAGTGAGAGTTTCCATTGCCTCGGTCTTCAACTAGCTTGATGCTGCTTTAGATTTGGACCCTTCTAATGCAGTGCATTTTCTCTGCCTTTTCTTTGCTCTTCCTCCTTTGTTGTCGTTTGTAATTCTCTAATGCTTGTCAATGGCAAGCATCTTTTCCTGAGCTTGTTGCCAGGTATATAACTTCTTCATTGTGATCATCAATCAGCTTTTCACCTGTTTTCTAATTGGCTTGTTCCTTTCCTTACTGTTGAACTTGAAGAAAGAGTCACAATCAACTATGCCATGTGCAAATATTTTCTCCCATTCTATGGCTTGATTTTTCAATTTCTTGATGGTTCTTTGTATTTAAATACACTTTGCCAATTATTTCTCTTGTGAGTCATCCATCTATGCTGTATCTAAAAATGACTGCCAAGCCAAAGCCATTTAGATTTTCTCAGGGTGCCAGCTGGCGGTTCTATAGTTTTGTGTTTTTTCTTTGGGGTTGTGGTCCATTTTGAGTTCTTTTTTATGATGGGCATAAAATAAGGTCTAGATTTCACTTTTCAGTTGACTATCCTGTTGTCTTAGCAGGATTGTTTGTTAAGAAAGCTTCCTGCATTAACTCTCCTTTGTCTAAGATTTTTTGCCTGTATTTATGTTGGTCTGTTTTGGGTTCCATTATGCTCCACTGACCTGGGAGTCTGTTCTTTCATTCATTAAGTACCGCACTGTTTTGAGTATGGTAGCTCTGTAGTAAATCTTGAGATTGAAAGTATCAGTCTTCCAACTTTGTTCTTTTTCTTCAATACTGTGTTGCCTCTTCTTGGCTCACCCGTTCTCCATGCAAAATTCCACATTATCTGGTCAGCTTTCATGTTGTATATCTCTTCTGTCTGACATTTTTTTTATATGAGGGTTCTATGCCTCCCCCAACTGTGAAGTGAAATGAATGCTCCGTGGTGACTGTTTTGTCTCTGCTGATCCAATTGTGTCGCTCTTTATGCCATTAGTCATGGCTCAGTGATATGAAAAGAGGTTAATGGCCATGAGAATTGAGCAGTACTGCTTCTGCTTTTCCCTGGCTTTATTTAAATATGCTTTCTGATTAGAAAACTAATATGAATAAAGAAGATTGTTCCAGAGTAAAAAGGAAGATAATTCAGTTATTGGCCCCAACCACAACAGATTTGGGAAGCAATCAGGGATAAAAATAAGCAACAAGTTGTATGTTGTTATAGCCAGGAATGCTGTTGTCTGACGTGATGCTGAGAGCGGATGGACAGCAGCAGCAGTGCAGCAGAGAGCTGCAACCTCGCTGTGTTACCACTCGTTACCGACTGCTGTATGCAGATCAGTAAGGCGTGA